AAAATAGTTCGTCGTTGGCCCAGATCAGCGAATAAACAATAATCCAATTATGTTGGTCCAGAGGTCTTCTTCTGAACAATTCCCACATATAATAGATTCCGAAGATGTCTGAAATGTTTTGGTACCAGAGTTAGTACATGAGACTCGCGAATGACCACTGCAAGCGCGAGCGAAATCAGAAGAGAGAGACGAAGCACGTGACCGCGCTTGTATTCTGTGAAATTGTACAAGTGCGCGTTTTTGTAGTTTTTCGTATTTAAACAAAAAACAATTATGCAATTGATGAAATACGTGGTTTTATAATGGAAGTAAAATAAAGGTACAAAACGCCACACTCTGTTGAGCCAGAAGCATTATGGGCATACGTATGCACGGGAGGAAGCCCCCAAAAATTCTGATCCACTTAGCTTATAACGAGCTGCGAGAAGTTAGGTAGATAATTATTGAACCAGGGAAAGCTACGGCATGCGTCTATCCGAATCTGTTGGCATTTTTGAGCAGGTGTAAATATTTCACTTGGTTACGCGCCCCTGCTACCAAGTGTATTTTGACCTTGAAGGACAACTTAATTAGAGAACTCAAATACACCAAGAAATAGCGGTAAAACGCATTGGACATGGACATTTGTACCGAACAATTTGCAACCACGAAAACTACATAACACCTGTTTAGTCATTTTCTGTCCCGACTACTGATTGGTCCCGTTACCAACGTCCTTGTTGCAAGGTCTAATTGGCGCGCACACTGCCTTGGCCTCTTTGCTTGTACCGAGGATGGTTAGTATGGTCTTGCGTGTAAAACGGTTTTAGGAAGTTTATTTGGTTGTTCGGAGGAAGAAGACGACAATCCATCTGAATGCGAAGGAATCCACCACCGTTGGCGAAGTCAAGCAAATGATTGAGGGTATTTTGAAGGTACCTCCCGCTGATCAACTTCTGCTGAAGCACCAAACCGAAATGAAGAACGAAAAGACGTTGGCCTCATATAATCTGAATGCGCAGACGGCACGGGCTCACATGCCGGCCACTCTTGGCCTTTGTCTACGGGACAAGGGTGAGTTTTAGAGACACGTACATTGAATGTATAAGTCTTGCCGACGTTTTGAAATTTGAAGCATACTGTCTCTTTCGACCTGAATACCCCCCTTTTTCCACCTTTCTAAACTTCGTTTACGTCACCATGTTCGTTCTTGCCATCATTCCGTTTTCTGATTCATTGGTTTTGCTTGTACCCTAGTACCATCAAAGATGGGTTTTTGCCTCATAACTGTGGGAGCTCACGGAGGCAGAGTAATACACATAATCGCGGCGTCCATCAAGCTTTCCTTGTTAGGGTTTTCTTGTAATTCAGTGGCTTCGGCTCGTCTGAAAGGCACAGACGGCAAAAGGGTTCACTACCATCACCGACGTCAGTGTTCAAAACAGATGCTTCGCTCTGGTACGGTCATTATTTACTTGAGGTCCTTCAGAGCGTCATGAAACTTGTTTTTGATGGTGTCAGAGCTACAGTCGATTGGAGCCTAAACAGACAAGACGAACAAATCGACCAACTCCCAATATATCCGCCCCTTTCACAGCCGTTGCCAGACGAGCCGCACAGAGGCGATTCAGCGGGCATCCAGTCGAGCAAGGATGCTTCCCTCCGATGATATCCTGCCTCAGCAGTCTCTGGATCGCCAGAGGTGATCGGTTCGAAGAGAATGTGGAGTGACGTGGCGCTTAGCTCAACTACTGTTTACATTTCGGATTCTTCCTGGAACACAGCACATCAATTCCAAACGAGTCCAGTGTAAGAGCGAAAGCACCTTGTTATCTCGCTTGCTTCAGATTGTGGAAATTCAAGACAGCTAGCTAGACTGGGCGTCGAGGCTTGATTGATTTCGAGATACCTGAGGATGTCGGCGCCGGATGACGCACAGATGTTGCCTGCGAAACCCACGCAGGACGAAGGGAGTCATCAGTCCTAACTACTGGGCCTACGAGGAGGGACTTAATAATAGGATGAGGATAGGTGGAAAAGTATATGAAAAAGAAAGAAGGAGACGTCAATAGTAGCCTGTTTTCGCCTACCCGCCGTGCTGTACGCAACAAGTGATGCGACCCGGTTGATGGCACCACGCGACGGCCGATGTGAAATGAGTTGTAAATGTGCAGTTCATCGTTGTACGTGGGCTGGGATGCTATCAGGGCGTCCACACATAGACAAGAGGACGATAAGAGTCCCCAACCAAAACCTTTGACTCAAAAACCTGACCGCAAGGCAGCAGTGTTTAGCGGGAAATGCAAACGCATTCCAATTTTTACAGAACAAGTCACCATAATAAGTTCCAACCCCCAACCTGGAGGACAAGGAGATTGTTCGCAAGATATATAGCCATTGGGGCGAGATAGCCCAAATGGTTAGAGCGCGAATTTACTGACTAGAAGGTCCGTCGTTCGAACCCTACATCTGCTTCTCGACTTCCGCTATCTAGGCTTGGGCAACCTGGCAGTATCCCAGCACTCGTGCAACCTTCAGGTGTCATGGCAGTTAGGCACCGAAAGTTAAACACACTGGCATTCGGGAAACGTAGCTGTTGAACATCATGATATGAGAGACTGCGAGTGTCGCACAGACACCTCCCAGTATAGCTCGATGGGTCGCGGAGGTACACAAGCCGTCACGCCATGTTAAGGTCCTGTCTCTTCGTGGCGGATTGTGTACTTACGTCCCGATGGACTATATCTCTGAATCTGCCAAAGGCAATTTCTCTTATGCTTTAGTTGCTGCTGTACAGCAGCAACTAAGCTCAGGTAAGTAGGCTAAGCACCGCGGAGGCCCAGTTGGGTTGGATATCAGACACAAGGGCAACGGAAACAGTGTACTTCAGATGTGTGGCGACCACAGACTGTTCATCTGAAGTACCGATTTCCGAAACAGTGTAAATCGCTTAAATAAGTGGTGTCCACCAAAGCACCGACCCTGAATCCAGGTAGACCACATTGTCTTCGGTTACCGGTGGCGAGGACCGAGCACAGCTGCTTTTCAGGCCTACTCAAAATGCGCAAAACTTGCGTAGCCATTAAGGAACTCGCTGACCCAGAAGTCAAACGAGTCTATCAGAACCGGCTCCTCGAACCCCTGCCAGGTGGTCTGATGTCAGATATTAATGACCACTAGGAACAGAAATCCAAGGTGCTAGCCTAAACAGACAAGACGAACAAATCGACCAACTCCCAATATATCCGCCCCTTTCACAGCCGTTGCCAGACGAGCCGCACAGAGGCGATTCAGCGGGCATCCAGTCGAGCAAGGATGCTTCCCTCCGATGATATCCTGCCTCAGCAGTCTCTGGATCGCCAGAGGTGATCGGTTCGAAGAGAATGTGGAGTGACGTGGCGCTTAGCTCAACTACTGTTTACATTTCGGATTCTTCCTGGAACACAGCACATCAATTCCAAACGAGTCCAGTGTAAGAGCGAAAGCACCTTGTTATCTCGCTTGCTTCAGATTGTGGAAATTCAAGACAGCTAGCTAGACTGGGCGTCGAGGCTTGATTGATTTCGAGATACCTGAGGATGTCGGCGCCGGATGACGCACAGATGTTGCCTGCGAAACCCACGCAGGACGAAGGGAGTCATCAGTCCTAACTACTGGGCCTACGAGGAGGGACTTAATAATAGGATGAGGATAGGTGGAAAAGTATATGAAAAAGAAAGAAGGAGACGTCAATAGTAGCCTGTTTTCGCCTACCCGCCGTGCTGTACGCAACAAGTGATGCGACCCGGTTGATGGCACCACGCGACGGCCGATGTGAAATGAGTTGTAAATGTGCAGTTCATCGTTGTACGTGGGCTGGGATGCTATCAGGGCGTCCACACATAGACAAGAGGACGATAAGAGTCCCCAACCAAAACCTTTGACTCAAAAACCTGACCGCAAGGCAGCAGTGTTTAGCGGGAAATGCAAACGCATTCCAATTTTTACAGAACAAGTCACCATAATAAGTTCCAACCCCCAACCTGGAGGACAAGGAGATTGTTCGCAAGATATATAGCCATTGGGGCGAGATAGCCCAAATGGTTAGAGCGCGAATTTACTGACTAGAAGGTCCGTCGTTCGAACCCTACATCTGCTTCTCGACTTCCGCTAGGGCAACCTGCAGTATCCCAGCACCCCGGGCAACTTCAGGTGTCATGGCAGTTAGGCACCGAAAGTTAAACACACTGGCATTCGGGAAACGTAGCTGTTGAACATCATGATATGAGAGACTGCGAGTGTCGCACAGACACCTCCCAGTATAGCTCGATGGGTCGCGGAGGTACACAAGCCGTCACGCCATGTTAAGGTCCTGTCTCTTCGTGGCGGATTGTGTACTTACGTCCCGATGGACTATATCTCTGAATCTGCCAAAGGCAATTTCTCTTATGCTTTAGTTGCTGCTGTACAGCAGCAACTAAGCTCAGGTAAGTAGGCTAAGCACCGCGGAGGCCCAGTTGGGTTGGATATCAGACACAAGGGCAACGGAAACAGTGTACTTCAGATGTGTGGCGACCACAGACTGTTCATCTGAAGTACCGATTTCCGAAACAGTGTAAATCGCTTAAATAAGTGGTGTCCACCAAAGCACCGACCCTGAATCCAGGTAGACCACATTGTCTTCGGTTACCGGTGGCGAGGACCGAGCACAGCTGCTTTTCAGGCCTACTCAAAATGCGCAAAACTTGCGTAGCCATTAAGGAACTCGCTGACCCAGAAGTCAAACGAGTCTATCAGAACCGGCTCCTCGAACCCCTGCCAGGTGGTCTGATGTCAGATATTAATGACCACTAGGAACAGAAATCCAAGGTGCTACTGAATGCCTGAACTTCTGCGGTACAACCCAACCAGATTCCAATTATAGGATCAATGTACTCCTGGCCCTCACAACCCTCCATCCCCTTTGTTCAAGGATGGCGATGAATTCCTGAGCCACTGCCTGTCTGGCCTATTTGTGTCTAGCTGGGAGAAGGATGGCGCTCCTTATCACTGGGATGTGTAGATAACAGTTCCCGTTTACAACATGGGTACTCTCAGTGAACGAAGTTGTCTCAGAGGTGTTAGTTTGGCTCCTGTTGTAACAAGGCCTTCTGGCGTCACTGATTCTTCGTCATCTTACGGTTTCGGGTGAATCTTTGACCCGTGAGCCTCAAGCGGAATTTCGACCGGGTATAGGCTTCGTGGACTACAGCTTCACACTGTCAGACGTTAGGATAACGTAATATGTATAGGCGACCCACAACCTTGTTATTTCTTAACTTCCAGGCTGCGTTCAATGTTGTCGGTTGGTCATTGCGGTTAACCACACCTGTCCAACAGAGTATGCCCCAGAAGGTTGTGAACACAATCCGGTCATTGTATTCACATACTTCTGGGCGTGTGACAGTGTACGATGAGCACATCAAGAGCTTCCCGACAAAGTTGGGGTCCGACAAGGATGTCCACCCACTCCTCTTTTTCAAATTCATCACTGATGAAATAATGAAACGAACTCTGTGAAGTCTTCACAACCCTGGTGTTGAAATCGTTTCTGTTGAAAACCTTGTCGGTCTGGAGTACGCAGATGACCTTTACCCCATCTTTGTAGACGAGGGCGAAGCACAAGCTCTGTTGAATAAAATGACCACCATCGTATCAACCGTCGGCATGCCGTACGCTTTCATGCTTCACAACGTGCAGCCTCTTAACATACCTCTTGCAATTCAAGGAAAGTCACTGGAGGTTGTGGAGAGCTTTTCATACCTCGGTGGTTGCATTAGCTCCGATGGAAGTGTGACTGATGAAGTCACTGTACTAATCTCGAAGGTCCGAATCAGGTTCGCTAATTTGCGTCAATCGTAGTGTCAAAAAGGCATATCACTTGGTCTCAAGAGTCGCATCTACTAGGCTACAATAAGGGCGTTGTTGTTGTTTTTGTTGTGTGGTTGTGAATCATGACTCTTGAGGACAGATGATATGAAGCGTCTTCAGGTTTTCGACCATCGATGCCTCAGAGGCTTGTTGGTGTTGAATGGCATCAACAAATTCGTAAGGAAATGCTTAGAGAAAGAGTACATGGTTATACATCAGCTCTTTTAGTCACGCAGAACATCCAGTACCCTCAACCTAGGTGGCTCAGCACAATCCAGCACAATCCATGAGGTGGATAATGTATGACTTAGCAGAAGGACAGGAAAGAGATTAGGAAGAGTTTAGGCGTTTGTGCTACACGCCACCTAGGATGGGGTTTTCGTGGCCCCCCGAGCTTGGCTGGTGACATTGTTAGAGATGGCGGCTGATGGCTGTTGGTGACGTTCGTGCTGTCTTTTTTTCCAGATTGTGTGACAGCGCTCGAAGGTGTGTGAGATGTGACCGAGAACGAGTTAGAAGAGAGTCCGAGTTATCGAGGGTAAACAACGTTTTACTTTTTCGAAAAAATTTCGTAACAATCGGCGGATTTATTGATGACCAACGTTTCGCTTTTGACTGACACAAAAGCTTCGTCAAGCCAAGGTTACGAGATTGGCCGAGATTTAAGGCGGAAGGAGACCCAATCAGTTAAGTCAAGCAAAATCTCTACTAGGTGTCGACCGAGGGATTTTGTGTGTTCGGGTGGGTGACCAAGTGTTAGGCCGATGGGAAATCCTACATGGTTTTGGTCTAGCCTAAGATCCGGCTCACCTGATGATCTGTCTTGAGCGTCGTTTGCAATTTCCGTCCGTCTGTATGGATGAGCTAGTGCTACCACAGTTGTGTAAAAGGGATTTTGTGAACTTTGGTTGGGTTGGGATTTCCACCCCATGTTTTTTGCTAATGATTCTACATGAATTGGCAACCACACAGTCACATGTCAACTCGGCTTATCTAAGACCACTTTCCGTACACTCACCAGTTCGAGACCCTCCAAGAAATAGGGTTCCCAGTGAGTTTGGTTAGGCGTCAACTAAGAAAGTTGTTGGCTCCGGTATCTTGACTTAGTAGGGAATGGATTGGCGCAGCAGTCTTTCCATGTGAAGCAAGAACATCGGAGGTTATTCGAAGACTGTTAAACTTAGCCAGCATTAGAGTGGCTTTTCATAGGGGAAAACTGTACGCTCATCTGTGGAATTGAAAGATCCTCTCCAGATTGAAAGGACTAAGGACTGTGTGTATAAAAGGAGAATAAGCAAACTACCGAGGAATACGGAAGAATATCAAACGCTGGTCAACGACTCAGCGATGGCGGTACATGCCTTAAACACGGGCAGAGAATAGATCTGGATAATGTGTAAGTTTTAAGTTGGGGACCACGATTTACACCACAGCGGCTGATAGCCGGGGCGGTGGAAATCTACCAAGCATCAGGGCGTGAACAGAATAGAGGGTGTGGAACCGAGGAGCTTGTGGAAAGCGGTCTTAGATATGCCGAGTTGACATGTGACTGTGTTGTCAATTCATGCAAAATCGTTAGCAAAAACATGGGGTGGAAATCCCAACCCAACCAAAGTTCGCAAAATCCTTCTCATACAACTATCGTAGCATTAGCTCATCCATACAGACGGACGGAAATTGCAAACGACGCTCAAGACAGATCATCAGGTGAGCCGGATCTTAGGCTAGACCAAAACCATGTAGGATTTCCCATCGGCCTAACACTTGGTCACCCACCCGAACACACAAAATCCCTCGGTCGACACCTAATAGAGATTTTGCTTGACTTAGCTGATTGGGTCTCCTTCCGCCTTAAATCTCGGCCAATCTCGTAACCTTGGCCTGACGAAGCTTTTGTGTCAAAAGCGAAACGTTGCCCATCAATAAATCCATTGATTGTTACTAAACTTCTCCGAAAAATGTAAATATTTAGTTATTCCTGGTGTCACCTAGCTTGTTTGGACCCGAAGCTCCATATTCTTGGAAAGTAATTAGAAATTGTGGTGGCTGTCGGAAATCAAAGGGCTACAAATCGGGGAGAAGGGCATGAGTGGATATCCCTCACTGACTGTGTGCGCGCTGTTGTCACACCCTTCTAAATCGACGGAATTCTTTCTATATGGGAGCTTTTAACGTCTGTACGCCATGTCGAATTGGCACAGGCGATGCTTGCCGAAACCGTATACTCCTTAAAAATCTCTGTATACTGTCTCCGAAGCACGCATATAGGTTATGCATCTCAGAACGCCAAGGGTAAACCCAGCTCTTTCACATTCCTCCTTCCGTGTGTCCGGTGACCCAGAACCGATGACTGACTGAATCTATGGTGTGGGAGTTGCACTCAGCCCCAGAGCTGAATCCGCTTTGATGGATCGGATCCCAGTGGACAGTCGTCTTTGCGCCATCAGGTTATCCAGTTCAATCAAGGTCAGTGCCTCTCGGCATGAAAAGTGGTGCCTGTTTGTAGTGTCGGCTTATGCTCTAACGGACTGCCGTTCTGATGCTGAGAAGAATACCTTCTATCGAGAGCTATTCGGGCTCACTCGTCAGGCAAAAAGCACTGACACTGTGCTCTTTGCAGGCGGTTTGAATGCTCAAGTCCGAGCTTCTTGGAATCATATTTGGGCAGTCGATTCGGTGTCCATGCTCGCCGCACAGATCGTCACGAAGAGACTGGACCTTACCGTGGTGTGGCTGTTTGTGTAACTCGGCGACATATTGGGGTATACTGAGGGATGTCCACACGACACTCACAGAGTTTACCATACCAGGTTGGTTCATGGGTAGTGGTCTGACGAACACAGTCTCCTGGCCCTCCAGGTTGGAGGTTGGAACATGTATGGCGACGTGTTCCGTAAAAATGGTGGCGTACTTGCATTTCCAGCCCAACACCGCTGCCTTGCGGTGAGGTTTTTGAGCCAAAGGCTTTGGTTAAGGACCCTAACCGTCCTCCTGTCTAGGTGTGGGCGCCCTGACAATATCCCAGCCCTCGTATAACATTGACATTCACAACTAACAATATTCTGATGCCTCATCGGTCTTCGCGTGATGCCATCAGCCGGGTCGCCTTACTTGGTGCATACAGAAGGGCGGGTAAGCGAAAACATGCCACTGCTGACGCCTTCCTTCTTACACTTTCACGTTTTCTGTCTTCCACCCTCAACCGCCCAAATTTGAATACTTTCTCCGCAGGTCCCAGCTCTAGGACTGACCGTTTTGCTCGCCCTGCATCACACCGAACTGCAGCTCCTGTACATCCGAGTTCAGTCACAAACCCCGAAAGCCTGTCTATTTAGCCACCTTCAATGTTCGCACATTGAAACAACAGGTGGCTCTCTCTCGTACGCCTGATTCCCTCCGCATTGATGTATATTGTCTGTCAGAAACAACGGCACAGGATGCAAGCACTTTGATCGAACTGACCGCTGTCTCGCTCTCTTTCAGGTTCCGGCTGCGCACCTCTGGTGATGCAGAGGCGGCCACAGTCGGATATACTGAGGTGAGTATTGTATTGTGCGGACGAGCGGGAGCTTCTCTGCTTGATAGGATACCCGTTGTTAGTCGCCCTGTGCGGTTCGTTCGGCAACATTTGTGAGATGATCTAGAGGAAGTGAGGTTCATCTTCCCCTGGCCGCTACCACAACTCCACCTGGCGCATCCTCCAACGCCATGTGAAGGTGAGTGTCCGCTCACACCGAGAAGTTTGGTGGACCCGAAAGGCCAAAGAAATGGAAGGTGCAAAGAGTGCTGGAAACGTGCGCAAGCTGTTCTACTTGGTTCTTTCGACTGGTCCTCGGAAACCTCTTGTCACCGAAATAATCAGAGATCAAAGTGGCTCCCTGATATGCAGCAAGGCGGAACACTTGGACCGCTGGGCACAGTGCTTCGAACAGCAATTCAGCCTGCCATCTGCTACCTCCAATTCAGAATGTTGGCCTTCAACAGAAAGGTGGACCGTAACTATGGAGCCGCCTTCAGTCTCAGAAGTGTCCGAGTGTATTTCTCTACTCAAGCGTCATCGTGCTGGTGGTCCTGACGACCTTTCACCTGCTCCTTCCAAGGATGGCGGTGAACTCCTCAGCCAGTGCCTGTCTGGCCTGTTTGGACCTATCTGGGACAATTGGGCTGAATCGATAGTGGTGACCATTTTCAAAAAGGGTACTCGCAGTGAATGTAGTAACTACAGAGGTGTTAGTTTGACGCCTGTTGTGACAAGGCATCTGGTGTCACTGATTCTTCGTTTTCTTACAGTGGCACGCAAAGGCTTGACTCGTGAGAATCAAGCGGGGTTTCTCCTGGGTAGGAGCTGCGTTGACCACATCTTCACACTCCGTCAGGTGTTAGAGCAACGGTACATGCACGGACGACCTACCTTGGTATTCCTTGACTTCAAGGGTGCGTTTGATTCTCTCGATCGATCTGTGCTGTTAACTGCACCTGCTCAAGAGGTATGCCCCAGAAGTTTGTAAACGTAATCCGATCACTATATTCACATACTTCTGGGCGGGTGAGAGTGTATGGTGAGCTCTCCAAAAGCTTCCCCACAAAACGTGGTGTCAGACAAAGATGTTCACTCTCTCCATTCTTGTTGAGCTTCGTCTTTGCTGAAATAATGAGGCGAACACTGGACGGTCTTCAATACCCCGGTGTTCAAATTGTTACTGGCGAGAGCCTTGTCGATTTGGACTACGCAGATGACATTGCCATCATTTTTGAAGACCAAAGCGAGGCACAAGCCCTGTTGAATGAACTGACCACCATCATACCATCTTTTGGCATGCGCCTCTCACCTTCAAAGTGCAAAGTCATGCCTCAGAGCGTACAATCTGCCTACACACCCCTTACAATTCAAGGAGAATCACCAGAGATTGTGGAAGTGTGTCTGAAGTCAGTGCAAGAATCTCAAAGGCTCGAATCCCATTTGCTACTGTGCGTCACTTGTGGTGTCAACAAGGAATCTCACTGGATATTAAGGGTCGTGTGCACTAGGCTACAATAAGGGATGCGTTGTTGTATGACTGCGAGACATGGCCTCTGCGTACAGATGATGTGAGGCGCCTTCAAGTTTTCGACCATCGATGCCTCAGAGCGTGGCTGGTTTTGGATGGTGTCGGCCTGTTAGTAACGAGGTAATTAGAAAACGGGTATTTGGTTGTGCTGCAGGCACTTTAGTTGGGAAAAACATTCAGCATCATCGACTACGATGGCTCGGTTCTGTGCTACGCATACCAAAACACCATCTACCGAGGTGTTGTTCTCTGTGCCTCCTTCAGGATGGCGCAAACCGCGAGGTGGACAGCGCCTGACTTGTCAGAAAGGCGTGAAAGAGATCACGGAGAGTTTGGGTGTTGCTGGTGTTGTACGCCTTCCAGGATGGGGTCCCCATGACCCCGTCTGTGCTTGGCTGGAGACGTTGCCAGAAATGTCAGTAGCGTTAATGCAGTCAGTTTCTTTCCAGATTGCCTGACTGAGTGGTTGGAGGTGTAGTGACCTCTCTCATATACAACTAGATGGACCTTGTGATTGTATGGCAGTGAAGCATCATTGTCAACACTGATGTTGCTGTTTTTGATGGCAGTGATGATGCACAGACAACAGAGATCGACTCCCTCAGTTGTTTGCTGCTCATGAGCTGTTTCTTGCAAGTCTGAGCTTCGACATAAACACTCACATCTTGTAGCCTGGCGGCCACCAACTGCAAATCAACCGTGGACCCAGTTGGACCACGTGGCCGCGAGTCAACGGTGAAGAGCCACAATCCAAGACTGCCGTTCCTTCTGGGGCACACTACTTGATTTCGACCACGCCTTGGTGCGTGCATGCCTGACAGTTCGTTTCCCTTCAGGCCCTCGCAAGTCAGCAAGAAGCATGAAGATCCACTTTCTTCGAAGAATTACCATAGCTTAACAGTATCGATCTGAGCCAGCCCAACAACTCCGCAGTAAACTAATACAGTGAGTACGTGGATGAAGCGTGGCAAAATTTGAAAGTAGCTTTGTTAGCGGTGTTCAGTGCTGTCTGTCTGACTTCTCCAATTCGACCACTGGACCACTGGATGCTATCCATGATTTATGCCAGGAAATCCATATCAGCAGGCAACGAGTACGACGGCGCACGCAAATCCCTCAAACACCGAGTAGTGAAGGGTCTAAAAGAAGACCGAAAGCTATGGTGGACATCGAAAGCTCGGGAGATGAATAAGGCTTTTGCTACGGAAAATAGCCATGCCCTGTATCAACTGCTATGGTCGATTGACCCTAGGAAAGCAACGGTCAGCGAAACGATAAGTGAAAAAGATAGCTCATTACTTCACTCACAAAACGTCCACTGTAAAGATGGACCGAACACTTCGAAGAACAGTTAAGCTGGCCTCCTGCAACACAGCATGTGGAGATAATGCATACGGGCGAGTGGAATGTAAACCTTGATTGTCTGTCTAGAGAAGTAATAAAGTACGAAACATCCGTACTGAAACGTGAGGAAGCACCAGGACCTTCCAGCCTTCAAAGATGGCGGAGAAACCCTGGTGACCCATCTGACAAAGCTTATCGGTGTTACATGGGACGAAGGGAAGGTGCAGAATGGGGTATGTCGACAGTTATTCCTATCTTTGAAAAGGGTACGCGGACGCTGTGTGAAAACCGCAAAATAGTCCAGTTCTATCACCCTTTCGGTGCCTAACTGGCCCTGCCACCCGAAGGTTTCACGAGGGTTGAGATGCTGACCAGTTGCTCAAGCGTAGACAGGGGAAGTCGAGAAGCAGAGGTTAGGTTCGAACCACGGACCTTCCGTCAGTAAATTTGCGCCCTAAATATTCGGGCCATCTCGCTCGCGTCATCAGCCTGTTAACTATGGCATCGAAGGTGCTCTCTGGCCTTATCCTTCGAAGGTTGACTGAATACAGAGACAGATCCGTGAAAACCAAGCGAGAGGATGCGTCGGTCATGTCTGCACTCTCCGACATATTCCGAAACAGCGACACTTCTTCCAGCAACCAACAATGGCTGTTTCTTTATCTGGAAGCTGCCTTCGGCTCTGTGGACTGTCAGGCACTATGACAGTGTCCGTGGAGCAAAACTGTCCCCCATGAATTCTCGACCCTCTCTCGACGCCAACTCTCGCGGCCGTGTGAAGGTCGGTAGATGGAATCATACGTGTACTCGGACAACTCAATCCTCCAGCACTGTATTTTGTCGTTTTCCACTTTACCTTTCTGTCCACTGCCGTACATGAATGTGACTGAACGCTGACCGGTAATTATTTTGAACGGTCTTCCGCGTAGATAGTTCCGCCATTTCCTGATGGATTCAACGATAGCGTAGACTTCCATCTCGATGACAGAATGCTTCTCGCTCTAGTTGAGTGTCCTCGAGAAAAGTGCGACCGGTCGATGGCTTTGTCTGAGGGACATCGGAAGCATTCGTTTCAACAACCAAAGGCTCGTTATAATGTATCGTAACTAGCTTAACATATTCTAGTTCGTTTTTTAGGTTCTCGAAGGCTAATTCGATGTCGGAAGGCAAATGGAATCTTTTGTTTTATATCGGTTTGTTAATTTTGTTGGAAATCGAAGATATCAATGGGCATAGTGTGCGAACATACCGATGACGCCTTGGATTTCCGTGGTAGTACGTGGAGGAAGTAACTGACGGATAGGTTCCATACGTTCAAGGTGGGGCCTTATGTTACTCTTTGAAACCTCATATCCAAGGGGCAGATAGCTTCTGAAGCAGTGATGGCTTTGTTATCGTTGAGTGTAGTTTCATATTTCCTCGTAGCTTTTAAGAACAATTAGAGTTTCAGGTCATTTTCTCCTTGGGTATTGCCACAGATACATTGTCTATGCAGGTATACGTGCTTTTCAGCTTTCCAGTCGTAATGATATTGTTAATAGTATGCTGAAAACACGCAACACCGTTTGTGACACCGAAGGGTATGTGACGAAACTGAAACATGCCACCAAATGCTTCACATGCTGCAAATGGTTTGTCGGGTGCACAGATCGGGACTTGATGGTAAACATACAAGAGGTCTATTGTACTGTAGACTTTGTATTGCGAAATTTCCTCAGTCATTTTGTCCAGGTGCGGCAGAAGATAAGCGTCGGGATAAGTGAACTGGTTGATAGTTTGGCTGCAGTCAACAACCATCCGGTGTTTGTGATTGACATTCTTGGTAAACAAAACCGGGGAGATGTTGATGACTCGATGATGCCTCCTTGTAATAACTTTCGGCGCGAATGAATTCTCCATCATCCGTATGATGTCGTCTTGATTTGGTGGCAACAGGTTTGCAGTCTGGAGATAAGTTGACGAAAAGTGATGGTGGTTCAACCTTTGCTGCCGTTATGCCGCAGGTGGTGAACGCATCACAATCCCCGCCGAATGAAATATCTATATGTTTTTTTTCACCAACCCAGTAGGAAATACTATTTGAATACCCAGTTAGAGTCCTCGAGTACATCTCCGTGCATCACTGTTAAACCTCGAGAAGCTCAGTCTTCTCGTAACGGGCGTTCTGAATCCCAAAATGTTTCGTCATTAGTGGTTTCACTTCGGGGTTTTTCATGTGAGTGGAGCACCATATCTGTGCTTACTATGCTTTTTTGTGTTATTACCCTCAGGTACTGACAAATTCGAAACTCTGGATATTACACCCTACTCAACTCCTCCCGAACTACCCGAAGTCATGCGATGTCAGGAAAACATGGCTCCTCAAACTGCACAGGAAATTCCAGCTGGTGCAAAACAGTAGATGATTGATTTGAACAGGTCGACTGCAGAAACCTCACAACTTTATGTGGGCTTTGAATCCCTATGTTGAATAACCCCCTGTTCCCCCTTGTCTGGTAATTTGTTGCCTGTGCTATTTTCAACTTCATCTAATGTGAACTCATCCTATTTTTTGGCAACACTGACGGTAAGATGCGTTTTTCGGATTGTCAGTAAGATACCACCGGACTATTCTGAGTGACAGTTCTGTTGCCTTCCAATGCTGTTTTCGTAAAACTTTCAAACGAACGAGACAATAGTGGGCGGATGTCAGTATACTGTTCAAACCGTAGTTTGTCAGAAGCTTGAGTCATTTCATGACTTCCCCTACACTACCGCCTACAGTCTTACTATTCGAACAGTATCCAGTTCGATTTTAGCATTGGAGATGTCATGAATTAGGTTCATTCATCTTTCTCGGATGTTCATCAGTGTCCATTACAAGGATGGTTGTGTCTGATTTGAGCATAAAATACACTTGTTGATGGTGTTAAAATTTCGATTCTTGGCTGGTCCTGTTTTTTTTTTGAGTTTCTGTTTAACAATCAACTATAATGGCGGAAGCCCAAAAAATTCACTGTATATCTCGGTCCCGACTCTTTTGTTGCACTCCCTGAAGACAGAGCAACCTATTAAGCCGAATTTAAGATAGAAATGACAGAAGGGCACTCTCAAACACGTCGTTCTATGAATAAGCTTTGAAGTAATTTTTCAACCGCGAGTTTAACCGAGACTTGAAGTCGATTGTTTAGTCACTCAATGGCTTTTTGTCGTGTGAATGTATTTAGCGAACAATCAGGCCCACTCACGTTATATTGTCTGTTCAGCTTGCCTAATATCGTAGTTAGCACACCAGTTAATCCGGTGTCATCATTATCATTGTAAGTAAGGGAACCCCCGTAGGAAAGATGATGCCGTTACGAAGGATAGACAGCCAATACGCTGTGGATTGATAGAAAACGATGACAGTTTTACCTTCGTGGGTGACATCATCGATGGCAACCTTTCGATCGCAAATAGTGCCATTTAATTGAGCTATGTGTGAGTGGTTGCCATCCAATACGGATTTGTTTGTCAGGTCAGACAGCTGCGCCTATTTATGGTAACACGGGTGATTCGTGGGTGAGGTCATCGACGATGACCTTTCGATCGCAAATAGTGCCATTTAATTGAGGTATGTGAGTGGTTGTCATCCAATACGGATTTGTTTGTCAGGTCGGACAGCTGCGCCTATTTATGGTAACACGGATAATCTGGATGTACCACTTTGGGTGAGCCTGTGAGTCAGACGTAAACCCGAAGATATACTCGCAGGAGCCTGTTGAGATCCATGAACCGGCCCAAGTATGGTGACATTATGATGAGCACGATCACGATATCAAACACCCAGATAATGGTGATGTCCATCATTTCCTTTGCGTTCCTGTATAACAATGCCATACAGTCATCTGCTGGGGGTTACCCAGGTTGTCGATTGTCGTGGATAAACGGGGTTAGATCTACCACAGAGCGTAGTTTCGTTTCTTATGAATTGGAGCAAACTCTCCCGTCTACGCTTCGCGATCAATACAGCATGGGAGTGGTATTGTTTGGCATATGTTTTCGCTTAGGATGGCCTCTACAGGCTAAGCAGCTACATAAATTCGCTGGTACTGGTGCGTTCGTCGTGAGTTGCTTATGGATGAATCATTTATGTACAAGTACTGAGGCACGCTTAGCCTTGAAGTGCGCCCCAACTACATGTATGGTCTTTTGCCAAGTGACCCTGTCTGTCACCAGATTTCCGTATGATCGGAATTTAAAGTTGATGTTTGTCAAGCTCAACAAAATGTTGTCTCCATGTCGTAGGTTCCATCCTCCTCGACCCCGCAAACCATTATTCAGACGTCCGTATGACAACTGCCTTGGAATCTGGTCCAATTTCATGTGCATCTCATGGCCTAAAAGAAGCAGCTACCCGCAAATTAAGAAGCTTCCGGAATCCGTGTGACCAATATATTTATGTAATCTTTTGCACAGATCGCAGGTGAAGTTAGTCGAGGATTGCGAAATGACGCTGGTCTACCTTCCATTCCTAGCTGCCGCACCAGTGAAGACAGCAAGGTAACGCGTGCAACGCAACTTTCGTGTCCATGGGCACATGGCAACTACTCTGGGCACGTTTTCGAAGTTCTCCAAATGCAACGCTAACCTCCACTATTCTAGATTTCAACTTTCTGAAGGCTGCTTTGTCAGTCTTTAGGAGTGCTGCCGAACAGCGGAAATGTGAGAAATCCGCTACCCTTCTACAAATTTCCCTGCTAGAAAACAGTCGTCTCAGAACTAACTATTTGTGAGCGGAAATGGGATTCGGCAGACGTGAATGTTGTCAGCAATCATCAGTGAACAGCGGTGTAGGGACCCTCGAGTTAAACGCCACTTGTTATCATCTAGATGATACGGGATGGCAACACTGTCGTGAATTTTGCAGCTCCATGCTTATTGAGTAAGATACAAGCTGAATGGACTTGGTGCCCTGGTTTTACAAGTTCGAACAACAGACTTCATCTCAGCTTGAAAAGACTTGACAAGATTACCGGATTTTGTTCGGATAACTCATCTTTCGAAGAACTATCCACCATTTCAACAAGTACTGTCATCTTCACATGAATTCGGTTTTCACAGGAGACTCATGGAGCTTTCGGCAGCCCTATGAGTAGTATGTCACATCTAAGTTGTCCACTTTGTTTCTCTGTTCGCCCTATCGAAGGCTTTTGTGGAGTCAGTGGAAAGACCTGTAGCGTTTGGTTGTTCTTGCGGCATTTCTGTTTTATTTTTCTCACTGAGAAAATCAGATTAGTGGTTATCCATTCCATCCGGAATCTCCACCGTTTCCCTGGAACGACTTCATCCAAAGTTTCCAGAATACGTGCCAGAATTGTGTCTGCCCCACAAAGTAGATTGATTCCACGAGGACTGTCTTCTGTCTTTTCTCTGTGAATAATTTGTGGACTATCTCAGTATTGTTTTGTCTCATTTGTAGCATTCTGATTACTTTTCCACCCTATTGTGCGTACAATTCCAACTAACGGGGTCTCGTTCATCACTATCTTCCGTGTCTGACTTGCTGCATAGGTTCCGGTTCTATCCTTCAATATGTGTTCTTGGTCCAGCCATGAATTTTTAGGGTTGAAAAGCTCTGGCATTTAAAAAAGAGTGATGTCGGTGCAATTTTGTATACGACCTACCATAATCTGAATGTGTTGATAGAGATACAAAAGTGACTCAATGCCAATATTGCATGTCCTATGGGGCGCGCTACTCTCCAGGTTTCGCTTGGGACACCAAAGTGATGTCGCGCCATCTTTGGATTGCTATCGAGGTACTGTTGGCTTCCAAAAAAACTATCCCGTAATTTTTATGCTGGGACTTCTTACAATGGAAACAGTATGGATCTGCACTTTTCAGGTTTTACGCAAAGACTGCAATAAATACCGCTTTCAATTCTGTATAGTAAGTGGACGTAAACAGTCTTTGAAGGCTTACGCACTACTTAGTTCCGTGGCTAAGGGATTGACTGCAGAGTGACGAATAACACGTATGCTGTTTGAGACTGAAAACCAGCCTCTAACACAACTCCACCAAAATCATTTAAATAATGAAGTTCACTGGATTTTTGACGAGAACGATTCAGGGAAATGCACCTGGCAACTGGTAAACCTATATGGGGTAGCCATATGTGCAGCTCGTAAGAACGAGGAGAGACAAAACGTTGACACATCCAGTCAGCTTCACGCGCGTAGCTATCGAATAGGTTGTTTCTTACTGAGAAGTAAATTGGTTGACGGAGCAGCCGAGTCTTTTTTGGTTTCAGCAGGCTCAAGCGAAATGCGTCACTTGTGCAGTGTCTTTTATTGAAGAGCGCACGCTGATTGCTTGTTTAACATAACCTGTGTCACGTGTTGTTTCAAATGAGTGGTTTAATTGCTGGACCACACTCGTACTTTGTGACTGATTGCGGGACATACATGTAACTCAGTCATGTGTGTGTGTTAGTTCTTTTATGCTCAATGAAAGGTACCAACCATGGCAAAGTGCTCCCTTTAGAAAAATCCAACTGGATTTGGTCCTATCAAAGATAATCGCAAGAGAGGGAGGGAGTGATCATCCGGTGATCTGTAACCATTTCACGGTTCAACTTTATAGATCAGGGTCTTTTCAATACCCAGCATCATCGTGACCATCATAGTTGTTCTCAAGGGATTCCCGTTTATTTATGGATCGAGAGAGCTCGGATGGCCCAGTGGTTATGGCTTGGGCTTACGGAGTAGAAGGTTCATGGATCGACCGTTCGTTTCTAGGCTTGGGCTTAGCCTTCGTGCTTTCTTCGCATGGCATGGCTAGGCACCGAGTATTACCGCTGAAGGACTATTATTTATTTTCGTGGGTCGGGCATCCGATTCAACATACATCTACAGGAGACCTTGGGAGTGCTGATAGGTCGCATGATTGGTCAATCCTGCCGGCGATGATCCATTGGCAACCTACTTAATTGACTATTCCAGATTGCTCGGAATTTCTGGCTGTTCCGGTCCCGCTGCCTCTTTTCTGTACTTATGGAATTCTAAAATGAATCATTATGAGCATAACTGCTGAATATTCCGAACTGGCCGTGCGATGAAATCTGTAAAACCTTGGAATGATCACCTTGTTGCGGGCACAAGACTTGAGATCGCATATGAGAATCTAACGGACATAGTTTGCAGTCAGGGAAATGTCCCGGATAGTGCAAACTACAGTACGTCTTCTGTTGTGCCTTATGCGCAATGGCTTCACAACCACACGCGCGCACGGCGACAGATGTGCTAATCTGTTGTTCCAGACAACCTCGGTAGACTTTCATTAGATTTACCATCATTCCGATTTCAACACGAGAATCTTATCGGGCCGGTCGAATTCCTCTAAATTGAATTGTGATTACCTTTTTGTGCAACCGCTTCAGGTCATATATTTACGAAGTCGTCTCGTGTGGTATGGTACATTTCGTGACTTTAGTGCGCAATGCTGTATTTTGTTCCCTCTATGTGCGTGCATACGTCTCCCCTGAGATCTGCCTTTTGTCAGCCGTCCATTTACGACGGGAGATCTCATCCTATGCATGTCGAAGTCATATCCTGGGGGTACTTCTGGCTGTAAAATATGAAGTTAGTTCGGACAGAAAGTGCTGATCGTTTAACGGTGGTGCTTGCTAGTAGTAGGGTCTTTGTAGAGTGTTTGCTAGAAATTCATGCACTGTATGAAAGAACTGTATCGTCTATGTTATCCCTGAGCTACACTGTATTGCTTCCGGTACTTTTGATATTTGTGGGATGATCAACCGTCTGAGCATCTCTGTTCGACGGAGTGACTAGTGGCCTGGACCATGGTCATATGTTAATTCTGCAATCGAGTTTATAGAGCTAGTGTTCGTCACGCAGTGCTGGAGAAAAGGCCAAAAGTTTTGTTCTGACTGTCGGAATGCTGCTCCAAGGACTCGAAGACAGCATAGTAATGAATCCCTATTTGAGGGGTAACTGCTGGAGATGATTGACAAGTGC